ACTTGAACACCACCATTTATCTTTTCCAACACAATGTAAAAACCCACAGAAAGGGGAGGGGAGACATCACTGGTCAGATGATGAAAACAGCAGTCAGACAATATCGAGCCAGTCCTGAAAAGACAGGGAAAAATGTGACTCTTAATCAGTACTCACCGCAAGGGTAACTCAGAACCTGGATGTCATCAATGGCAATGTAGCCATTTCTCCCATCTGAGACTTCAGCCTCAAATATTACCTGTCAAGAGGGAAGAAAAAATGTTTACAACACTCACTGAAACAGAATTCCCATCAGTGCAGTGTGCAGATACAACACGACATTTTTCCCCATAAAAGCTGAACTTTTGGCTAGATTTCATTATTGGATTTCAAAATGTCTACAGTTTTCTATTTATGCAAAAATCAGCTCTTAATTAATGCTATTCTATTTTTCATGTGCTCTCCTCTTTGAGCCATTATATACGGATTTTTTTTCCTGTTTGTTTGGGGGGGGGATGCTATTATGTTCAAATGGCCCAGATTTTTCCAGATAAAGAACACCAATAATATTTCAGAATTTCATGTTCCTGTCTTGAGGATGTACCCCATATTTCATTATGAAGATAGAGAGATGGGCTCTAGTCCACAACAGCTTATGTCACAATAAATCTGCTAGTCTTTAACATGCCAAAAGACTTTTTATTGCTTTGCAACAATTTATCAGTGTTACATGATATTGCTCTGGTGACATGAACCCCACATCTTCAGCCTCAGCAATTCAGCTGAACACCACCTTGACAGTAAAACTGAAAGTGTAAGATTAATTTTCTTGTATCTTCTTTCGCTGTTTCTGTTAAGCAAGAGCTTAAAAAGTGTCTCACAAGGAATACCAAAAGTATGCTGATATACCCTTCTATCCCTTGAACAAATAAATACTATCACTAAACATGAATTATATGCAAACAACTGCAACAGTAGAAGAATAAACATTTCCTAGTAATGAACAAAGCTGAGCATAAACTGGATTGTAAGGCCTTGGTCACGGATTGGTACCTTCCAGCATGTATGCCAAACAGTCTTATGTCATGTCATTTAGTTCGGAGAACAGGCTAGTTCTCTCAGTAAGGGATCAAGGTAAGCCCCGAAGTACAGTTAGTGCCACAGGGGCTCAGTTTGCTCCCAGTGCACTTACCCTTGTCTTTCTCTCACACACAAGTGTATCAGCACACCAATATCTTCACAGATAGAAAGGTTACCAATGCTGGCTTGGACAACTAGAGATTTGGGAGCAATTCTGGGGAGGGGGGATTTTGGGAAGGGGAGGAAGTTCAGCAGGGATGTGATGCCATAGAGGATGCCTTCTGAAGCTGCCATTTTCTCCAAGGGAGACTGATCTTTGTAGCCTGGAAACCAGTTGTAACTCTGGGAGATCTCCAGGCCCCACCTGGAGGATAGCAACTCTACTTGTACTGCCTCTTGGTTTGTAGGTGGTAGAAAGTGCTGTAAATTCTGCCCTCCGAGGCTGCCATTTTCTCCAAGGGAATGGATCTCTGTCATTTGGACATCAGTTGTAATTCCAACAGAACTTCAGGTCCTACCTGGAGGCTAACACTAACAAACAGCACAGAAACTTCTGAAGAAGTCTAAAAGGTGTAAATTTGCTGGGGCTACGAGAACATTCAGTTTCTATGATAAGCACAGACACTCTATGTTTATCTTTCTCTCAGAACCTGAACAGAAACTCTGAAAGCTTTAGCGAGAGGTAGCAGCCAAAAGGGCCCTACTGTCATACAAGTTAGCAAGGCTGTCAAGTGTGAGGGGAAGGGAGGAAACTTTTGGACTGAGTAGCAGGATGCTGTTTGCAAGGATCTGTTTGCATTTATCTTTCCAAAACAGAAATTTGCCACTTTGTTGGAAAAATCCCAGCAATGCATGTTTAGAGGAGCTAACTAGATTCAAAAAGTTGGAGAAACACAGCTGTTTTATTCTCCTTCCCGCCTCACTTCTACCTGCCAACCAGTACAGGTATTCCTTTATGGGGGGCCCACAACTCTGTGGATTATCTTTCCACAGCTGAAGGAACATGGGGAAATCCAATGTGTCTTCTGTGCATGGATAAGTAGACAAAAGCCAGTGTTGTTCATAAGGTGCACAAACTGCAAAAAAAAAGGATCCCCAAAATGCAGATCTTCCTAAACTCGAGCAGTGGGCCAAAAGCACTGCTCTTGATCTGAGTATATTTTAATTAGAAATTTTTGAGTGATGGAAAAATCTCCTGATTAACTTTCAAAGCAGCTTCTACAGCGCAGACTCAAGAAAGACATATACACCAACCCTAGAAATGCAATCTTTTCATAAAGTTATTTATAGATTTTTTTGCATTGCAAGAACTAAATATGCTTACAATCAATGGTCTGAATCCTTGAGTGAGACTTAGGACACTTCCAGTGGAAGACAATTTCCTTTTTATCCCCAAGCCACATATTATACTGATCCCCAGGTTTCCCAAGCCCTGATGAATTCCACTCATAGTTCTCTGGAAACAAGCCAATTAGTGCTATTTTTTATGATTTTATTTGTAAAATTAAACAAACAGAATCACTTAAGCCATTAAAAACATTCTGGAAAACAGAAGTTTATCTACTGTCATCTATCTATACATATAAAAGAAAGTCCCCTCACTGTAAAATCAACGCCCAGGTCCAACCGCTGGACCTAGAAACACCAAATTTGGGGATAGTGCTCCTATCATGATGTAGCTGCTCACTAAGAAGGGATTTTTAGAAATTCAACCCCTAAGGGAGTCAAAAGGGGTAAAAATGTGCTCCCCCCATTGATTCCTATGTGGCTGCCAGGCTGCTGCCTCCTTGCACCCCCTACTCTCTGATTGGTCAGCTGCAGAGCTCAGTGTTCTGAGGTTAAAAAAAAACACCAACAGTTACAGGAGACTGCAGAGAGCTCATGACAGTTAAGGAAATCAGGAATGGCCAACAACCACCGGTGAGGTGCAGTAATGCTGCTGGCCCAGTCTCTCTGATGGCCTCCAACACACTCCCCCCACCTCCTACACCTAACAGGCAGTTGTCTGTCAGGTGCAGCAGCAGTTGCAGGGTGATTAAAGCCACGAGGGAGCCTGCCCCAGCAGTAACGCCTTAGTGATCCTGCCGGCTTAGTCTCCATAGTGGCTTCTAATACTCCTCCCCTCCCCCTCCTACACTGGACAGGCAGCTGCCTTTCAGGTGTAGGAGAGGAGGTGGGATGCTTACAGCCGCTGGGGAGATTTTCTCAGCAGGGTTGCCTTAGCCCTGCTGCTGGCCCAGCCTCCTCGATACCTTTAAATACAATCCCACTCCCAACATCAGACAGGGTGGTGTCTGTCAGGTGTAGGAGAAGGGCCAGGGTACTTTAATCCATCAGGGACGCCACCCCAACAGGATCACCTTAGCGATGTTGCTGGCCCAGCCTCTCTGATGGCTTCCAACACACTCCCCCCGCCTCCTACACTTAACAGGCAGTTGTCTGTCAGATGCAGCAGCAGTCACAGGGTGCTTAAAGCCCCCCCCCTCCTACAGCCACCGGGGAGGTTTGCTCAGCAGGATCACCTTAGCAGTGCTGCTAGCCCAGCTTAGCTACACTCCCACCCACAATGGAAATATACCCCAAATTTGTAGAAAACTGGTTTCCTTTATTAGGTTATTTAACTTCTCACAATGTGGGTTCTGAAAAATTGGTTTATATGAACTTGCTTAATATCTGATTGCTCGGATGGTGTTTTGAATATGTACTTATGTCCCACTTTTTAAATGTAACATAAATGAGAAGCATTTTTGTAAAAAAAAATTTAAAAAGGAGGGGGTATCCTAAGGGGGTAAAAAAGGGGCAAAATGTGTTCCCCCAGTTGTTAGAAGAGACTGCAGACAGTTGAGGACACTTACAGAAATCAGCGATTCAAGACTCCTGAATAGACATTTTTCAAAAAAGCCAGCATGGCAATTGAGTTAATGAATGTTCATGGGGAGATAGTAAAGGACCTTTCTAGGAGCCATTTTATATTTATTTATTATATTTATATCCCGCCCTCCCAGCCACGGGCGGCTCAGGGTGGCCTACAACAACATAAAAACTGCAATGCATAAAATCACAATGCTAAAACCATAACAATAACAATATTAAAAGGTGCTAATGATTATAATCCAATTTCCAATAACAGATATCAATTTAACATTACGTCTGAGATGGCGCTCAACTTCCATGCCATCCTAATGGTCTATCCCGATTTGATGTTGCATGGGTGGCTCAGGCTACTTTAAGATTTCAAGGAGCAGGGCATTCTCCCCCGGGGCGGCTCCTAATTGAATGCCTGGCAGAACAGCTCCATCTTGCAGGCCCAGCAGAACTGCATAAGATCCCGCAGGGCCCTGATCTCCTCTAGGAGCTTGTTCCACCAGAGCTGAGCCACCACCAAGAAAGCCCTTGCCCTGGTTGTAGCTAACCTGGCATCCTTTGTCTCATCCTTTGTATTTACTTTGTCTCAATCTGAGTTTTGAAGAGACTTTAAATCACATTATACTTGCCATTCACTGAATTCTACTAATAGGAGAACCCATTCTACCCCATAAGTTACCTTCTGAACATTCCAGCTAAGACAAAAAGCATACAAGGAAATATATGGTCATAAACACTAAATCTTCTCACATAACATTTTGGGGAATATGAATGTTAATGGGGGCAAGCAGGATCACCATGGCAGGCTCTGTCCTCATACTACATACATTTAATTAAAGGTATACAGAGATCATGCAAACAACTGTATGTGGGATGCATCTCTGCACAACTGAGAATTTTGTAGTCTTCCCTCTTTATCAGGTGGGGCCTGGAGATCTCTCAGAGGGCTTTTTTTGCACCTGTTTGTTTCCCCGCTGTTCTTCTGGAGCTGTCAATCACTCTCTGCATTGCATCACACTTTCATTTTCTGTGTGCACTGAGTCTTTTTGCAATTTCTACATATTTTAATGGCCATTCAGTGGTGACTTTGGAGTCAGTACAGTGTTACCGTGGGGCATCCAAGAGTGCTTCTGCAGTGGACTTAAAGACTGATCCACTTCCGAGTTGGAGGTAATGCTAAGCAGAAACCTTACCTTGGACTGTGCGACACTGCCCATGTCTCTGGCTGTTTCCACCCCTTCTTTCTTTTGTCACATCTCCCCCAGGTTGGATTTCTCTCATTCTGCTTCCTCTTGGCTGGCGGCAGAGAGAGAA